ACTTTAACGGTGTAAAATAAACACACGGCTCTGGATAGGGTTTGTAGAATCTCCGAAGTTTGCTGAGAACGTCTTTTTTGAAACAATGTAACATTGATATTCGTATAACATCACACAGTTATTAAACGTGGAACAAACAAACAAACAAACAAACACAGCGTTGATGTTGATACACAGAGACGTCCTTTCTGTGTTACCATTTATTGCAATCTCCAATTGCAGAATTGTTAGAACATGTGAACAAAGTAACATGCGCGTAGCGCAATAACGATATATACCTGTTTTGCTTTCTTATCCATGATGAAAGCCTTGGGTAGAAAGAATCCGTTGTCTGGCTGTAGGAAAACACGTAATGGGATTCTCGTAATAAAAATACGGTATATAGACAAAACATAACCAGATATTAGCAATTTCTGTATATGAAATCTAATAAACACCTGTTTGTGTTTTGGGTCCAACGTTCCCCAATAAGGAAATCATTACATAATGTCAATCTGTTGTCGTAGGTCAAAACTGATAAATTCAACGATCTCAATTAATATGATAGCAAATCCCATTAAGATTGTCGTTCGTACAAACACTCCAGCTCCCAAAAAACTTTTATAAGCATTGCGATCATGTAGAATATTTCACGTGAAAAATAGTTTGTTTTTTTACTTTGTACGAATTTTTTACAAGTGCAAGAAAGCGAAAAAATTAATCATTAATTTCAACAGCATACAAAAATGGATCTATAGCCTCTTCATCGCCACTAGAATAATTTTTTTCCTCCCTAATTACGCTTTCCATACCCATTCCCGTCCCCGCTCCCGTATCTCTATTATTTTCATCGTCATTCTTTATATTCCACACTACATTAGTAAGAATGGATGAAAGTGGTCGTGTAACAGTCACATTAACGTCCATATGCTTGCTAGGAGAACCGTCGCGTATATACAAAGGTAGCATCATCTCTGAATCTACTAATGGACGGCGAGTCCGAGCTGCTGGTGGCGATTTTATTTTTGAACTACTACTTTTGGTACTTGAATCTTGCAGAATATTGTCTTTTGGACTTTCGTCAGATGGTGAAAAAACTATAGGAATCAATCCGTCAAGTTCTTCGGAATCCAGACCATCTTCAGGCTCAGCCATATTGGATTCTAGTCGATTAAATAGCCAAACATCGTCTGTGAGAAAGTTTGGTGGTACGGGTTTGAAAGGGCTGGGTTCAAAAGAGTTGGTGGGTTCAAAAGGGTTATCGATCGTTTCCTGCTGTGGTGGTGATCGAGTATCAGGCTGACCTGATGAAGATGGCAATGAAAGAGATCGCTGTAAAAGCCTTTCAGGAGTGGGTGTCGATGGCGTGGATTCTTGTGTAGGTAGTTGTAACAATTGATCATTATTAATGGTCGCTGTCGCGGCGGCTATTGGTGGCTGGACGTCTGGTTGAGGAATGATCCCCTTTTTCTCCGTGTCAACTCCATCTTTTTGGAATATCTTGTATTTCTCGTTACAAAGGAACGCATGTGCTTTCAACACTCCTCCCAGATTAAGAAGCGTTATTGTCAGCACATAAATCCACGCAGGCGGATCTCGTATTAATGTCACCATACAGAATAATATTACCGGCGTGTATTGTATGAACTGGACAAATAGGTAATACGACATCTTTCTGGTCGCACGCGAAACAGTAGCCGCTATTTTCTTTTGCTCGAATGTTGGTTCGTTCAATGAATCATTGTTTTCAAATCTCGGCGACGTCGGATAGACCAGTCCGTTTTGTGATGCCAACGATTTGGAAAAGTAAAAGGACGCTCTCGATGAAAGCGTTGGAGCAAACACCGCTGAGACTCTTTCATATGTACGTCTAAACGGTCCGCTAGGCGTTTGGTTGCCGTTCAGAGTGCTCGAAGTGCGTTGACGTCTCAACGCATCAGCAAAGGCAGTCGTGGTGAGCATTGGTTCTAAGCGGTGAATTCGTCTAATTACCAATAGATAAGAAGCCGTCGTGATTCCTGTCACGACGTAGGCGATTATTATGGTTGATATTAGAATCCAGCGACTGCCTGGAGCAGCACGAAAAATGAAGCACCTATTGGGAAAAAGTGTCAAACTAGAATCAGTAACGTTATCTTGCGAGTCCTTTTTTTTCTCTTTCCCGGGTACCTCACTGCAAGCGCGCGCGTTCTATATGCACGAGTAAGAACCTGAGACATACGCGAATACGTACCAAAATACATCAGGTCCAAAGCCACCAAGGCCCAATGCGATGAATCCAATCAATAGACTCGGAACCAATAGCTTGAGAAACAATTTCCAATCCCACGCACCGAATGTGATGAGAGTTCCTTTGCACACTCGATGAAAGACAATGACAGCCACGACGGCCATCAAGAGCATATTAATAATGATTAGCAACGACGTGACAAACCCTATCGCGACGCAAGCGCCGGAAGGAATCAGCCTGTCATTCGTCATCGGGTATAATAGATTAGGCAGACAGACTAGGCCTGTGAGCGCATCCAACACTGCCATATATGTAGGATATCTCTGGGTCGATGAGAGAAGACGACCTTCCGATTTATGATAAGTCATGATTAGAATAGCAGAGCATCCAATAACATTGACAAAGGCACTAATTGACCCGGTAACGTATATCGATGCGCTGCCTCTTTTATCCAGAGAGCTTATGCTCAGAGTAGGCGGTTGCGATGGAGAAGGACTGCTGCCGAAACTCATGACTGGGAGATACGTATTTGTTGCGCGTGTGGTGGTTGTGGTAGCGGGTTCAGTGTTAGTGTTAGTGCCGGTACTCACTACAGTTGTCTTTGTGGTTATTGTCGCTGTCGTTGATGGCCCATAGATTGATAACTTCACGGTGGCTTTTGTGGTAGTGATTCTATAAATAGTCGTGCTACTCATGGTAGTTTTTGTTGCTGTCATTTTCGCTGCCGTTTTTACGGTAGTGTCTGTCATTACAGCATTGTAAGAAGTTTTATATTTGCTATAATTTGTAATTGTCTGTGTTTTAGGTTTTCGCGCATGCCCTGCAGTCGCTAATAAGATTACAATAAAGAATAATAATAAAAGATATTTTACTCCCGGATGCTGATTAATGCTCAACATAATACCGGAGAGATTTCAGTCCAATAAAAGCTACTTCTCTATCGAAGTAAGTTTAGATAAACAAGCAATAATCATAAGTTCAATCGGTTTGTTCGCTCGTCTAGAGCTGGACTGGATCGATGAGCATTTAATAATTGACCCAAGGGGGTGAAGTGAACGGCAAACTCTGTAGGAGGTATAAATGGAATATATGCTGGAAAGGCATTACCTCCACGTTGTTTGACCAAAAAAATTGATCGAGTTTGCCTGAATGGAAAGCTTTTATATAATTTATACAATATGCATGGTAAGGATCGGGAAAAGTTACAAAATGTGTGTGTGACG